GGATTCAGAAGAGGCCGTGGAATGAGAGATATCATTGCTGATATCCGGTGGATCTTGGCTGAAAGTATAGAATAACAGAAGGATGTTTACCTATGCTTTATTGACTATGCAAAGGAAGTGGTATAGAAGGAGGTAAGTCAGAGATTCCAGAAGTCAGACTGTCAGCATTCAAACCCTGACTTGGACACTTGCTTCTCTGAATGTTTATGTCACCTTCGGTAGAATAAAGATAGGAATAGTTTCTACCTTGTGGGGATGAAATGAGATGATATGCATTAGTGTGTGTGGGTACAATGAAAGACAGCTTCCAGGAGAACATGATGCTACGTGTTGGTTGTGTTGTTTTTATTAGGCACTGTTGAGTTGGCTCCGGCTTCTGGCACCATTGAGTTGGTTCTGGTCCTAGAAGGAAGCACTGCCCAGTTTCATGCTGTCCTAACAATTGTTATATTTCAGCCCATTGTTGTAACCAAGGTGTCAATTCATCTTGTGGAGTGACTTTTTCGCTGACCCTCCACTTTACTACCATGATGTTCTTCTCCAGGAATTGAAAAGGATGTTTCTAATAATATGTCCAAAATCCACGAGACAAAAGCTCGCCATCATCCATTCCTGGGAGCAATCTGATTGTTAATTGCTTGAAAAAGCTAATGGTTCCCTTGTTTGTTTATTCTTTTACTCATTTGTTTATTTCAACAAGTTTTCTGAGCTCCCTGCTTCTCACCTGACTCCCCTTCCCCGTCCCAGATCCATGCTAAGTGCTGGAATTATGGCCCTGCTTCATGAATTTTCACAGATAAGGTTTTCTTGTGTTATCAAGTCTATTCTGACTCATAGAGACCCTTTATGGCAACGTAGAGCTGCTCTAGCATAGTAGTTACGAATCAGGCTGCGAACCTCAAGGTCAGCAGTTCGAAACTACCAGCTGTTCTGCAGGAGAAAGATGAGGATTTCTGCTCCCATAACAATTTACAGCCTCAGAAACCCTGTACTGGGTTGCTCTGAGTCAGAAACGACTCCATGGCACATAAGCACCACCACCAGAGCTGCCCCAAAGTAGCTCTTAGATTGGAGTCTTCACAGAAGCAGATTGCAGTCCTTTCCTCATACTGAGTGACTGGTGGGGTTGAGCCTTTTAGTTAGCAGTTGAGTTCTTCACAGTTGAGTCACCAAGCCTGAAAATTAATGCAGTCATGTGTGATAAGATATACCAGAGGTTGCACAAGATACTGTGGGAGCCAGAGCAGACGAGGAGAGCTACTTGATCTTAGTTACACGAGGGAATATTAGAGCTGGGTTTTGAGGGATTAGTAAGAATTCTTCAGGAAGAGGAGGGCAGATCAAGATCATTACCACTCTATTACCTTTTTCCAAACCTACATTTTGTGATGGCCACAAAAATACCATTCTGCAAGATTTTATATCATTATACAAAAAAGTGAAGTTCAATCTCTACCTCACACCATATACAAAAAATAAACTCAAAATAGTTTATTGACCTAAAAGTCAAACTTAAAACCCTAAACTTTCCAGGAGAAAAACCTCTGTAACCTGGAATAGGCAAATATTTCTTAACTATGATGCCATGTCCATGGGAAAACAATTTGGTGAATTAGACTGCATCTAAATTAAGAGGATCTGCTCTTTGAGAGAAGATATATTGGTGGCACTGTAGGACTGGACTGCTACCCACAAGGTCATCAGTTCAAATCTTCCAATCTCTCTGTGGGAGAAAGATGAGGCCGTCTGCTTGGATAAAGATTTATAGTCTCAGAAACCCTGTACAGGATAACTGTGAGTCAGATCAAGTGCATGGCAATAGTTTTGGGTGGGTTCTTTGAAACATACTGTTATAATGAAAAGACAAGTCATAGACTGGGAGGAAAAAACTGCAAATCATATATGAGGGGGGGGCTTCAAAAAGTTCATGGAAAAATGAAATGAAAAGATAATGGATTTTTTTCCACGAACTTTTTAAAGCTCCCTGGTATACACACATTGGTGGTCCCCACCCAGAGACTTTAGCAGATTTGCTGTTTTTCTCAAGGATTTGCATTTTTGTGCAAGTTGCCAAGGGATGCTGGTGCTACCACACTTTGAGAACCACCGTCCAACCCATAGGGACCCTGTGTAGGATTTCCCAGGTTGTCAATCTTTATGGAAGCAGACAATTTTATCTTTCGTCTGCTGAATGGCTGGCTGGTGGACGTGAACTGCCAACCTTGTGGTTAGGAACCTAATGCCTAACCCACAGAGCTGCAGAGTCCCTTTGCATCCCGCTAGAGTATTAGGTTTATTTCTGCAGCTGTGGTGGGCAGGTGGTGTCGGATTGGTTGTGACCCTTGAGGATCCTGTGTGCATCAGAGTAGAACTGTGCTCCGCAGAGTTTTAATGGGCTGCTTTTTTAGGAAGTAGATCGCTAAGCCTTTCTCCTGAGGCTCCTCTGGATGGACTCAAACCACCGACCTTTCTGTGAGCCGCTTTCTTTAACTGTTTACATCACCTCATTGTTCCAGCACTGGGTTTTTTTCATTGTGTGTTTGAATCAGCAGGAGGGTTGATGTTCGTTTCCTGTTGTTTTTGAGGAGGAAAGGGCCCAACCTCTTTGGTATATCCCTCAACCCTGACCTGTTTGTTAACAGTCTGCATAAAGGAATCTGGCATAGCGGGAGTCCATGTCAAGTATGCATTTGAAGTCAGTTTCTTTCTTTTTCTCTATTTCTGTGAGGTGTTTTTTTTAGACCAATTGATTTGCAGGAATGGGCTGGGTGTCCCTTTGTTCTCCCTCTGCTACCTGGAAGGTATCAACAGGCTGTTTTCTCTTTCCTCTGAGCATAAAAGTAAAGTTTGAAAATTCCTCAGTCTTTCTTACAAACCTGGGCTAATGAACTGGTGTTGGGCTCTTGTTCAGGGCACCAGCTGGCCAGAAATCTCTCTCTGCACCCTCCCCGCAACTAGAATGGGCATTGTTGAGTATGAGCCCCCTAGATTGTTTGGTTTAGCAAATAAAAACAGAGGTTACCTAGTTAAATTGAACTTCAGATAAACAGCAAATCGTTTTTCAGTATACGTCTGTGATGCTGTAGGATAAGCACTGAACTGCAAGGTCATTTTGAACCAGAGGGTCGATGGTTCAACTTCACTAGCCGCTCCTCAGAAACCCTATGTAGGTTTCTCGATGGCACTTAACAAAAACAACAAATGTCCTAGATGGGAAGTCCCTGGGCTGTACATGGGTTGGCATGCTTGCTGTTCTCCTAAAGGGTGATGGTTTCAGTCCACTGAGAGGCACCTCAGAAGAAATGGCTGGCAGTCTACTTCCCAATAACTCAGCCACTGAAAACCAATAGAGCATGGTTCTACTCTGACATACCTGGGGTCGCCATGAATCAAAACTGACTGGACAACAACACGTTTTGACCCAAATATTGCCTAGCCAGGTTGGTCAGGACTCCTGGTGTAGTGGGGGGCAAAGCCCTAGGCCTGGAGTGAGGCTGAAGTTGGGTGCAGCAAGGCCAGTAT